TATGTTCAAGGGAATTTTATTGTTTCTTTAATAGCGTCACCACGTTCTGAACTTAAGGTAGTTTCTTTCATCCTCAGGGAAGGTGATGAGTGGCAGTAGATCAGTGGGGCTATTCGTAAGATTCTTTATCGATTAGCTTTGAGGTGGGCACATTTCGTAGGTACCATTGATTAACTTACAGCATCATCAGTTATTGAAAAGCCATCTGATCTATTAGATTATATATAAAAAATCAGAGAAATTGATGATTAATTGAACCTAGATAAAAACTTTATTGAGCGAGACTTAGATGGAAACTTGTAGAATAACAAAAAATTTTTTGTTTTGGGTTTGTCTTTTCGAGTTGCTTTCATTTTAATCATATTAGTTTATTAGTCTATAGATAAAGGGAAAAAACTAGATAGAGTGAATAGTTTTATGAGTTATCCATTTTTCTTTCCAGGGTCGAATCATGAATCGTTTCTCAAACGACGTATCAATCGCGGATCACCAATTGATGATATCATTTCGTTCTATGACCAATACGTTTTTCGGTTGTATGGTTACCTTGGCTCTCTCTATTATTCCCAGCCCCTATATCTTCATCTTCCTGGCTGTTCTCATTGGCTTTTACGGGTTTATTCAGGTGCGTATATTTCCACGTGTTTCACTTACATCAGTCAAATTAAGCAGGTGGTAATGTCACTAATCTTTGTAGGTCCTCTTCGTTGCAACTCGGAGACAATTACAGCGTTTGGACTCTGTTAGCAAGTCGCCAATTTTCTCTCATTTTGTTGAGACGCTTCATGGGACAGAAACTATTCGGGCCTACGGACTATGTGACCTCTTTGTAAGCACCAATGATGCTCGTATTGATGCAAATAACCGCGCTTTGTACAGTGTCATTTCTACCACTCGGTGAGTCATTGTCATCTATCATTAGTATTATTAATTAATCCTCACAATTCAACCTCATTTTCTTCCCAAACCTGTTATCTAGCTGGGTTTCAATTATGTTGGAGACAGTAGGTAACCTCTTGACCCTGGCGACATCCGTGGCCTTCGTAGCTGCTACACGCGAAGGTGGTCTGGATCCGGGTCTAGCTGGTCTGGTCATCTCCTTCACTTTCAATGTTACTCAAAGTCTCTCATGGTTTGTTCGCATGTCTGCGGAGTTGGAAACCAATGTTGTCTCTGTGGAAAGCATACTCGAATACTCAGAACTTGCCATTGAGGTTAGCTTCTATGGACCTTTATTTGTTGTTTGAGGTTAATTCTCTTTTTGACGCCATTTTAATTTGAGGAAAGCATGCCAATTAACACTGGAGCGTCAAATTCTACTTTTTAAGAGATGTCACTAGGCTATTGACGCGTTTTGTTATTGATTGATAGACTTTCATATCTAATTCATTTTCAGGCGCCTTGGAATGTTCCAGATAAACAACCTCCTCCACAATGGCCTGAAGGGGGGATCGAGTTCATCAATTATAGTACTCGTTATCGTGAAGATTTGGACCTTGTTCTCAAATCAATTTCAGTCTCTATTAAACCAAGTGAAAAAGTAATCTCTCAGTTAATAAAGTCATATTCCATTCTGTAATGAATTCTTCCCCTCATCTATCTCTCATTCCAGATTGGAATAGTTGGACGAACCGGTTCGGGCAAATCTTCATTGGTTTTGGCTCTCTTCCGAATCATCGAACCGACGGGAGGAGAAATACGTCTTGATGGAATTAATATCTCTGAGATTGGTCTTCACGATATTCGAGGAAGAATTACTCTTATTCCACAGGTTCGTGATATTCACAAGGAAGCTTTTTGGTATTGAATACATCCATAGCACTACCAGATCAATCATTCGAACGAGATTATATTAGCTATCGTTAGTTTAGAACTTTAACTTCCGCTTGAAAGGTTTTTCTCTTCAAGGATCAGGTATTAAAAGGAAGTGACCCATTTAAGCATAATCTCTTCCCTATTTTAAGTGCTTAATATAACTCGTTATATGCAATTTTCCTGTAGGATCCAGTGCTGTTCTCCGGCACCCTTCGCTTCAATCTAGATCCATTCAGCAACTACACTGACGAGGCAATTTGGGAGGCTTTGTCAACAGCAAATCTTCGTTCTTTTGTTGATAAGACATCAAGTGAGGGCCTTAATATGCCAATTTCCGAAGGAGGTGGCAATCTCAGGTAGACCCGATATTCAAGACTGACAATTCCCGAACTGCTGGTTGTTTTTATCATGTCGCACATTTTGATTTGTTTTAGTCAAGGTTAACGTCAGCTAATTTGCCTGGCTCGTGCCTTGCTTCGTCGTTCGAGGATTCTGGTGTTGGATGAAGCCACCGCTGCTGTAGATCCTCACACTGATCGCCTTATTCAACAAGCCGTCCGAACAGAATTCGCTGATAGCACAGTACTCACAATTGCCCATCGTCTCANCAGATTGGAATAGTTGGACGAACCGGTTCGGGCAAATCTTCACTGGTTTTGGCTCTCTTCCGAATCATTGAACCGACGGGAGGAGAAATACGTCTTGATGGAATTAATATCTCTGAGATTGGTCTTCACGATATTCGAGGAAGAATTACTCTTATTCCACAGGTTCGTGATATTCACAAGAAAGTTTTCTTGGTATTGAATACATCCATAGCACTACCAGATCAATCATTCGAACGAGATTATATTAGCTATCGTTAGTTTAGAACTTTAACTTCCGCTTGAAAGGTTTTTCTCTTCAAGGATCAGGTATTAAAAGGAAGTGACCCATTTAAGCATAATCTCTTCCCTATTTTAAGTGCTTAATATAACTCGTTATATGCAATTTTCCTGTAGGATCCAGTGCTGTTCTCCGGCACCCTTCGCTTCAATCTAGATCCATTCAGCAACTACACTGACGAGGCAATTTGGGAGGCTTTGTCAACAGCAAATCTTCGTTCTTTTGTTGATAAGACATCAAGTGAGGGCCTTAATATGCCAATTTCCGAAGGAGGTGGCAATCTCAGGTAGACCCGATATTCAAGACTGACAATTCCCGAACTGCTGGTTGTTTTTATCATGTCGCACATTTTGATTTGTTTTAGTCAAGGTTAACGTCAGCTAATTTGCCTGGCTCGTGCCTTGCTTCGTCGTTCGAGGATTCTGGTGTTGGATGAAGCCACCGCTGCTGTAGATCCTCACACTGATCGCCTTATTCAACAAGCCGTCCGAACAGAATTCGCTGATAGCACAGTACTCACAATTGCCCATCGTCTCAATACCATCCTCGATTACGACAGGTTAATCACCGCTACTGAATAATTATAGGTAGCAGTGAACGGTTTACAAATAGAGTATTTTCCTGTTTTAGAATCATGGTACTCGATGCTGGTCAATTGGTTGAAATTGGATCACCATCCGAACTGGCCTCACGTCCAGATTCAATCTTCCGTGGAATGTTGAAGGAGTCAAATCTACTGAGAACAGTTATTAGATCATCGAAGAGTTAATGGTTAGATCAATTCCTTTCTTATGGATTGATTGAGCCCACATTTTTGATTCATCTTTTCAATCGCCTGCTTGTACGTGTGCGAATTTGCCCGTTTTCCTGCACCAATTCTTCTGTTGTTATCTTTAGAGTCGTCACTTCGCCAAGTGACACCCCTGCGTGAATAAATAGTTCTCACTGAAAATTAAGGAAATTAAATTGCTGTATTTACATAATCTTGAATTGTTCTTATACCGTTCGATTCCACCAATTGAAACGTAACATTTATACCGGGTGAAGATAATGAATGAGAGGATGTAATTAATCAGCAACGTATCCTGAAGGCCAATGACTTGAATCAGAATGTGGGCACGTTAAGAACTGCGGACGTTCACTTTCCATATGCTTCGCCCGCATTCTACTCCTGACAAAGTTTACCTAATCTGCAATCCTTATCCACAGCTAACTGTTGTCAACTTTTGTAGTAACATTGACACAATTTCAAATAAACCCAATCGTTTATTTCAAAATCTTCACTCTGAACAATTTGAAAACCTAATTCTCTATCATGTTATAGCAAAAGGCATAAGAGACGCTACATCCCTTAGCCATCATCGCATTTTCGTATTGGAAATATGGTTTTGTGCAAAACCGTATTTCATGTCAAATTTCACGATACCAATGGACTTTTTTCTGTGACTGTTCATGAAAATCAACTACCAAAACTATGCTAATTTTATCGAATTTATTCATGGAATAGTGAGCTCTTTATAAAGAAGAGAGAATAGAAGTGGCATGAGAGTATGGCCAAGACAAGAAACATTCTTGGTCCAGTCGACTGTGCTTGTGACATTGCACAGAGTTTACCAATGTGATAGTCCTTTTTGCCACATTCCAACTTCATGATTCCTCTACGGGCTTGGAGAAAATGTATGTGCACTGTGTTCGATGATTATAGAACGTTTGTTTTATCTACAATCACAGGTTTATTGCCCTTTTATTTCAAAGAATGTTATATTCATCAGCTCTAAGTTACTAGTGGGACTTGTAAGCTCAGTTTAAAAGAGCAAGCAATCGATTATATCAATTGATTTCGGCTCACGTTTAGATTTACGGTTTTGTTAGAAATATCGGATACTTGTAGCAAGAAGGTTATCTTGATGTAGTCTTTGCTAAATCCAGTTAATTGATGCAAATTATGGAATGACAAAAGCCATTTACATTAAAAAAACAAAAGTAAAGTAAGTAACTGAATTGAACCACTGAGAATGTTTAGTTTTCCTCAATTAATTTTAATGCCTTCTGATCAATCTAAAAGTATAAATTTAAATTTCAAATTTCATGATTCAATTTGTTTGAATCGGTATACATTTTGAAAACCAACTCAATTACACGAACACAAATCAACTTGAGGTCGCAAGAAATTAATGAGCTCATTTTGGAGCATGCAGAACTCCAACCATAAAAATGCGAAATTAGTTAATCCTCTTACTTCCACTTGAACTCACCTTGTTTATTCTAACTATTAAATGACTTGCTCTTTAATCATGCTTCTCCTTCTTTCATTCCAATTCCAGCCCAACTCTTGTCGTTCCGTTAGTTTCAACAACTGTTATGTTCTGACATTCAGTAAGAGGATCATCGAATTTGCAAGACAATTAACCTAAACCTAGCTCAGTCGGAACCTTACATTGATACTAATATTTATTTATATCAAATGACAGGAATTATGATTGTTATTATAAGCCCTTAAGTTGACTTCAAGCTTCACAGAGAGGAGGGACATCAAAGTCACAAAAGTGGAGGGTGGGGGGGGGGG